GGGGCATGGACCCCCTCTTATATACAGCTTAGCCTGATGTACCACGTGTAGTATTGTATATGTGTGTGTGTGTGTGTGTGTGTGTGTGTGTGTGTGTGTGTGTGTGTGTGTGCGCGCGTGCGTGTGCGTGCGTGCGTGTGCGCGCATGTGCGTGTGCGCGCGCGTGCCCGCGTGCGTGCCTGCGTGCGCGCGTGCGTTCATGGTGGTATATATCCCGGGAGGAATGCTTCAGTATATTTATATATATAGCTTATTCTGATATAGCTTATGTAGTATGTACTGTTACGGAGGAATGGTGGCAAGGAAATGACTAATCATCTCGAACTATAATAGCAGTTATAGCACCCACTGATATTTTATTGTTTGCCATGTTGTTCGTGAAACCATGTATATAGAGCATATATACAGCTTTATATAATATATTATCTATGTGCCATTATACTAGATTGACCTAAGTTTAATCTGGGCATCATAGACACTAATATGCATCATAGATATCTAACGTAAGATAAACGACATCTAGTTTTAGTTGTAAATAAGTAAAATTCCATCTCTCACATTCACATCCAAGTGGTTACAATCGATGCTGAGCAATATGTGATGAACAAGATTGAAGGTGTAGAACTTTATATGTATTTACCTTGCAACAGGAATCCAAGCAACAGTATTGTAATCGCAGTATCCATCACCTTGTCGTATGAACTATGAACTATGAATCAACGCCACATATCACAATGCTAGCTTATCAAGGTGGTCTCTCTCTCTCTCTCTCTCTCTCTCTCTCTCTCTCTTTCTCTCTCTATCTCTCTCTCTTGCCTCTAGTGGCCAACTGACTTACATCTCTTTCAGAAATGTCTATATATACACCTGCATCTCATTCAGAGCCCGTCTTGACGTGCCCTTTGTGTGCAGATGTTTTGCGCACGAATAGAAAAACGACCTGCCATGTTGTGGCCGCGCACGCCAATCAGACTGCATTGTTTTTGACGTCATTGTTCTCCCGGACAGCTTGATGTCCACAAAGGTGGCATCTTAATGAAGAGTGGTCACAGCCGAGACGTATTCTAGTCCCTAGTGAGGAAGAATTCTAAGAAGGCAAATGACACGATGGTTCCTGAATTGTTGCAAAGTATGAGTGGTGACTCTCTGACTGGTTGCTTCTCAATGAATAGATGGATCCATTGTCTTGTTGATGAACCAATGTTCATGCTTGAGTATTGCTATCAGCGATCAGACACAGTCGTATTCACACAAATGGCACGCGCGTGATATAGAATCAGTTCTGCTGGTGCCATCCAATGCAATAAGCTTGTTGTTATGTTATAGCGATTTGGTTTGAATTTTAGAAACATTTACAGAACACATTGTGTTTTAAGATGAGGGAGTGTGTAGGCCTACACTGATTCATAGCATGTGTGTTTTTCGATCTTGCTTTTGACGCAAGTACACACTTGCACTTTCTACTACATAACAATACACAAAGTGACACGCACGCACGCACGTACACACGAACGCACGCATGCACGCACACACGCACACCGGTATATATATATATATATACACACACACACACACACACACACACACACACACACACACACACACACACACACAACAA